AGTTACATCATATTCAAAAGAATGCATTACTTTGCGTTGTCTTCTTTTTTCTCACCTGAGTGGATCAGAATGATGTAGATGAAAGAAGTTGGGCCCTAAAGGCCATAGATGTGACTATAATGTAATCAGTCACTATTCATTAAACGTCCAGACCAGTGCAAATACTAATAGTAAACTAGACGCATTGCTCACCCAGTATGAGTTATAATCAGATAGGTTAGGGTGGTCACTTTTTGACTGGGAACAAACACAACAGGGTGGTTTATTTTTTCCACAAACTTCAGTATTTGTCAAAATCTGTTGGGTTTTATGATTTTTTTTTTTACAGTTCAGTATTTAAAACTGAACAACAGAAAAGGCTGATTTGATAAAAACCTAGATCTACCGCCAGCATACACGCATTCCCCGATTGTCTGTGGGGTGATTGTGTTCTCTTTGTGGCAGAGAATTCCATCAAAGTGTCTGTGCTGCCTCCTCACCTCCACAGCTGATCCGATATAAGACAACGTTCCTTCTGGAGACCAAGCAGTGGGGAGCAGAACAAAAATAATAATAACGCTGAATGGGTCAACTCATCTCAGCTGCTGTCAAAAGAAACCCCACACTAAAACATACGAACCATCGCTCACAGCACAAATCATTTTGAGGAATCTTCAGTCTTCAGCGCTGCAGTCACTTCAGGTGACAGAGCAGGATAGATAATCCTGATGTGCTGTATTTGTACATAGTCATCGGACGCTGCAGCCGTTTTATCACACACAAACAAGCCCTTTGGCGTCTCGAGGATGAAGAGAACACACAACACCCATTTAGAGACAAAGTGCTGATAATCTCTTGATCCTTTTTCAGGATAGCAGGATAGCTATGATTTGCGCTCGCTTTGCTCCAAGGAGGAAGGGTGCAGGAGAGAAAACAAGAGTGCACAAAGAATTTTATTAAGAGCGACTGAAATTACATTTTCTGCATGAACGCAGAGTGAAAGCTAAATTCTGAATGACAGCTGAAATTGGCCAAAGACGAAGCAGAACAGTAGCTTTAAGTAGCAGAATGCTAGCCAAAAGAAGCAAATGGCTAGCTAAAATCTACCGTATTTTTCCAGCTATAAGTCACAGTTTTTTTGTATAATTTGCATGCCCTACGACTTATACGCCTAAGTGACTTATTTATGGATATTTTTCCCATATTTATAATTTTTGGCTGAAATATGACCGTTTTCGTTCATTCTGACTGAAAATATTGAACACTACCATTTTCAGCCACTAGATGGCACTAGTAGTATGGCATGTTGTTGTGTCATGTAATAGGTAAAAGTGGCTATTAATTACACAATCGGTTTGCCAAAGCCTGCCACCTTCGTCCAGCTCGCTTGGAGCAAACGTCAAATCAGCTTCATTTTGCTGCACTGCCTTGGTGAAATGAAGCTTATTTGATCATTAAAGTGCATTTATTAAGTAAAAGTTCAACTGAGACACACCTTTACTATAATGTCGAGCAAACAAATAATTGCTTTTAGGTGGTTATCTGGTTAAATTTCGAAGAATGCACAACGTGTCCTCCCGTGCATGCTCCCATGGCCACGAGTTGGCTTTTGAAAAACAGCTGATTTGACTGACAAAGTGTATTTATGAAGGAAAAGTTAGACTGAGACACAACTTTGATATAATTTCGAGCAAACAAATAATTGTTTTTAAGTGTTAATTTTGTTAAATTCTTGTTAAAGTCCTTCCGTGCACGCTCCCCCGGCTGCCATTTGGCAACCAATCAATTCTTGGCACAACACCGGCCCACATTTCCGGGTCGTCAGCGGTGACGTGTAACAAACTGTGACGCACGATAGATGCGACTTATAGGGCAGTGCGACGTGTACGGTGGAAAATACGGTAAATATAATATAAGGTAGCAAGAAACTAAACAACGACAAAAGACTAGCTTAAACTAGAACGTTTTTGGAGAAACTTAGACAGGGACTGCTGTGTGGCAGCCATTTTAGAGTTCCATCAGACATTAATATACATAAAGGATTGATGCTTACAGATTGTATGTGGTATCTTTCAGCCCCAGGCAGTTGCCCACCGTAGCCAATTGGCAAGTCTACCTCTACACTATCCTGGAAGTGTCTCAGGGTGCACCAGAAAGGCTACAGCTAGCTGCCACTGTTGTTTATCCAAAAGTTAAAATCACATAATTTATGTAAATATTTGTGTAATTCAAAATTTACATTGGAGTTCTAAACTGTCAAGTCAACTCGTCAAGCTGGTCAGAACTAATCTTTGAGGTCGTTCGTTTTACCTGCAACATGTGAGATACTAACCGTTCATAACCTTTCCACAGAACCCCACTTTTAAAGGTCTGAACTATTCCTTTGGTGTTTTTCATTTGCCGTTAACTTCCTTCACATCCTCCTCTACCTGCTGGCCTGTCGGCGCCCAGATAAGGCTGATCTCATCAAATGATAATGTTTATCTACAATGAAGTCCCACAGAGGGGGTGGAATTTGTTTTCAGTCGACTCTAAAAGTTTTTGACAAGACTTGAACACAGACTAATCAGATTTAAAGCTGCTTCAATAGATATTTAGTATTAATAATAATTTGAGAGATGGTATCTGGGTGATGGCAATTTTCTAGGAAAAAAAAAACCTGAATGCTGCTCAGGCTGATGTAGTTATAGAAACAAATCTAAAGAAGGCACCATTTTATTCTTGCATCCATAATGTTTTTAGATACTTTTACGCTGCATGTATATCACCACCGCCCCTCCATTTTAAATTGATCACCAGACTCTTGTAGGCAAAGAGAAACTAGTCATGCACATCACCTGCCGCCCTGCATGCAAATGTTAATGTAGCGCTCAGTGTGTTAGGGATCACTCTCTACAACTCATGTGCCAAATTTGAACTCAATATCTGTAAAATTAATTGAGTTATAGCTATTTAAGGTTAATTAGTTGTGGTGGCCATTTCTTAGGCTACTTTATAAATTGATCAAAAGTGACAATGACTTCTCTGCAAAATGGCCAACTTAACGTGGTGAAGGGGTTTGATCCTGTGATCCAGTGATCCTGGGGGCCATGTTGTCAGGGGCATTCAAAGGAACCACTGGTGGACACCATGGTCATCAAGCTGAAGGTGGCAGCCTTCAGGACTGCTTGTTCAGGAGGACTCCTGAAGCAGCTGACAGGTACAGGGTGGCCAGAAGGACTGCAGCGTCAGTGGTTGTGGAAGCAAAAACTTGAGCATGTGAGGAATTCAGTAAGACCATGGAGGACTTTCAGTCGGCCTTGAGGAAGTTCTGAAACAGTTCAGCTACTCAGGAAAGGAAAGCAGACCCTATCCCAGGCTGTGCTTGGTTTGGGAACTTCTGACCCGAACTGTTGAGCGGTGGAAGAAACACACCGAGGATTTCCTTAATCCAGTGTTGTAGTCAAGACCACCTAACCCGAGACCAAGTCAAGACCAAGACCAGAGTGTACCGAGACAAGACCAAGACTTTTGGGGTCTGAGACCAAGCCAAGACCAAGACCGAGGGAGGGCGAGACCAAGACCTCAACTCTTGGAGCTCAATCTTTTCACAGATTATCCGTCTTATACCATACTGTCACGAAATAGTAACAGTTAATATGTAAAACACACAAAAAAACATTTTTTATAAAAGTTACATGCTGCAACTTTGTTTGCTTTTGAGTGGATCAGCTTTTATAAATTTTCAAAGCAACATAAATAAATCAGACGTTCAGTGGTTTTTGCACAATAATTTTCATGTCATGTGACCCACTGACAAAATACTCTACTAGACCTGACAGACAAGGCACCCTCATTTCTCATTTTAAAGCATTTTCAAATTTTACATTTGTTCAAAAATCATGGTTTTTGTTCAATAACTAAGAAAATGTTTTAAAATGAGAAATAAATGATTGCGTCTTGTGTGATGTAATTTTTCTCTAAATTCGTAATTAACCTTTTGAGAGTCGCATTTTATTCACCTTGCGGGACTCGATGCGATTAATGACTTGTAGCCCCAAATGTTGCTTTTATGTCCTTGAAACTCGTCAAGTGTTTTTTTTTTTTTTTCATCCAACTTTTATTTAGACAAGTTTAAATCCCATTGAACCTCAAGGACTAATTTACAAGGGAGACCTGATTTTAACAAAGTACTCTCTCACTATTGTCCAAATAATAATACAAGCTTTTATACAACAAGTAGTGGGAAATAAAACTTTTAGACCAAAATATTTTACTTGAGACTTCACAGTTTGCATTAACTGCAGCAAATGGCAAGAATATCTAAGGTGATGGAATTGTGTGTGTTTAAGGCTATTTGAGAACAAGATCCCATTTCAGACCAAATCTGTCCAGTAACGACATCTCAGCTGACAACACGACTTCTTTGCGTTCCAAGTACAAGAAGCTAGAAGAAAATAACCGTACAAGCTTTTCCATTTTCCCCGTAAACATCTCACCTTAGCTATAAGCCCACTAAACTTTCCTCCACTTCGACAGGTCATTTAGTGGCTGCTTGCCTTACACCGATGCTTGATACTACTTTTAGTACACTATAAACACCAGCTTACCTGGTGGCTGTGGGACAAAGTTTGCAGTGTCAGTGGAACTTCTATTCCAGTAGTTTGCTTTTTCCGTTTGATAAAATTAAGAAGGCACTGGTATATAGTGTTCCGTCTAAAACAGGTCTTGAAAATGAGTTCTTGCGACTCAGACTAACCTGTATGAATAAAGTTTGAATGAAAATGGTGATCTGCTCAGTTATTTTGGTTGAAATATCTCCAATCTGATGTGCAGGGTTTTTGATTCATCTCAGGCAGGTGGAAAGTAAAAAAAAGATGTAAACAGTTTGGTTTTAGGCCACTTCTGCTAAGTTTTTAAAAATCCCAACACACTTGACTGACCAGAATCCCAATCAACAAATTAACCACTCAAGTTTATAATTACTATATAAAAACAGTAACATCAACTTGTTGCATTTCAGTGTTTATTTCACCATCCTTTCCAATAATATGGAACCACAACTAAAGTCAATATCATCAAGATTCTTCAAAAATACACCAACCTACCCAAGTAGTGCAACTCAAGTCTGGAGGGTTAGACACAATTTTAGATTTAAACACAAATATCACAAAATTATAAATTATTTAAAATGTTTAAGGAGAAAAAAAAAAAGCAATGAATATATATCACAATGAGAAAAATTCAGAAATATGTACAACACCAACATATTGACGCACAGCATTAGTTACCCCGTAATGCGGAAAACACTTCCTGTTGGACCGAGACCAAAAACATCCCGTTTATACGTAGCCGCATTTCAAAAAGCACAGCTGCTGGAATAAAACGATGTTCTACATTTGCAGAAGGTGAAGATTTAATACAGACAGTGGAGATAAATGATTACCTCAACACAAAGTAGTGGCAGCTCATCTAAAAGAAAGGAAACCTAATAAATAACCTATGAATGTCAACAGAAGTGTATTAAAACTCGCCCACGTCCACCCTCTTGTCTCTGAACTTGCTTCTGGCCTTGGTCCGAGCCTTGAAAGCCGCAGAGTTATGGAGATGCTGGGAAACAAAGTAATGTGATTTAAAAAAAAAAAAAAAAAAAGGTTTCACCGAGATGTGAAATGAATAAAAACGGGTTTTATGAACACTTACCCTTTCAAAGCGAGAAATTTTCATGGCCTTCATTGTAGCCGAATCAACCAAAATGGGTGGTCCCAGCTCAAACACGTCTCTGATGAATTCATTTGCCTGGTTCAAAAAAGAAAAATGGTCATTAATCAGCTCAAAACGTATCCAAATTAGTCATTTTTGTGTTAGTCAAGTCAGTCAGTTACGAGAACCATCTTGAATTGGGCTGATTTTTAAAGCTAAATCAGTTGTAGATGTACATACAGGGATTAAAATCCATCCAGTGGTCCATCAGATGTTTACCTGTAGGTGGTAGTTCATTCCAGATCCCACAAACTCCCTGAAAGCATCATAGGTCCTCTTCCTGACCCAGCTATCAATGGTCACGCGTTCTGTTCCAAAGCGAATCGTCTCCGTTTGGAAATCTCCCTCCTGGGGAAAACATACAGGCAGGTAAAAATAAAAATGGCCACAGACGACTACAGTCCTAGGGGCACAGAGAAGTTTCATCTCTGAAGATTCAAAAGTCCTGTCTTTCACTCTTAAGCCATTCTAGATAAAAAGGGGGAGAAACTTAAAGCCTCAAAATCCAATTTTTGAGGCTGATCCAAAGGGCTCACCTCGACGGCCTTGAGTACGTCCCTGAACACAGACCGCTGCTTCCTCTTATCGGTCTTGGCTCTGTGTTTGTTGCAGTCTGTGGCTAACGCGCTCAGTTTCTCACACAGTTCGTCCCAGCCATCAAAGTCAAACTCCTGATCAAAATAAACGGGTTTATATTAAGTCAAATATTCGAAGTACCGCCACTGTTTTTGGACACATCATTTCCAGAACAATGCAAACTCACTGGGTCAATGTCCCTGGCCAGCTCAAAGAGCAGAGCAATGGTCTCCCCAGCACCAATCCTCATGTTGACATCATCACTCTCCAGCAACCTCTGCAATTTGGACAGGTGTCTGCACGACAAAACAAGTGAGGACAACAGAACTTTTGGCTATAAAACATGAATGGGACAGGATCTTACTTATGCAGGATATCTTTGAGCTGATTGGCCGAGCAGATTGTGAGCAGCAGCGCCCAGGACAGCAGGGCGTTGATGTGGAGCTGGCTCGTCTGCGGATTGATCGAAGGACAGGTACCATCCGCCCTCGCGTAGGACCGGGTGAACAGGTTCTCAAAACATTCCATCGTAGCCTGCACGTCCTGGAGGCAGGGATTGTAGAAAAACAAATGTGTCAGTGGATCAGTTACTACGAAATGCCCTCAAGCGCATGCGTGTCAAAGCAAAAAACAGGACACCAAAAATATTTAAGAGCTTACAAAAATGTCATCCTCTGCAACAAGTGTACACAGCCCCAGACTCGTCGCCACCTATGAAAAGCAAAGAAACAGATTTTAGTTGAGATTGGTGGAAATTTTTAAACATCACTGGTTAAGGGTTAAGGCAAGGGGTTGATGTTGCGCATTCTTCTGCTGTAGCATCCAAGATTACATTCCTACTCACAGCTTGTCTGGCTTGTATGTTGGCCGTTCCATCTGCCAGGATATTTTTGAAGATTGGCTTCAGGGTCTTGAACACCTCCTTGCTCTCAATTCCTGAGCCCAGCTGAATGCACAGCAAGCAGGCTAAAGAAGCTGCTGCTCGCTGCTCCTCACCTTTGCCTGGCAGAGTGAGGGACAGGCAGAAGTATTAATGCTACTGTACGACAGCCACCATCACATTAGAGTACCACCCAAAAGGCATTTTTCATTGATTAATATCAGAGCAGCTGGACGATCCCAATCTGATACGGTCAATGGTTTTACATTGCATCAGCTGTGCTGCTATACAGGTCTGAAAATTAACAACACCCGAGTGCCAGTTGCAGTTTTCTCAGCCATTAGGCAGGAAAAGATTCAAACTGGTACTAATACTACAAGGGAGGCTACAGATGCGTTTAACAGTCACATGTACTGAATCAGTTAAAGCGCAGATTCCGTATTCAATCCTACAACTAAATATTTCTGTGCTAGGCTAAACAGTAGCTGAGCACAAAACTCAATACATGAAAGCCAGTGAGCAGCATCATCTGAAGACTAATTAAGAGCATTACACTGCGAGTTTGGCTCATTTTTCTCTGGAGTATCATGGACAGGATTGTTCATTCTGCTTAGAGGAAAAGAAACTATACTCAACATTGTGTGGTCAAGAGGAAATATAATGCAAGTATCAGACTGACACCCGTATTGTCTGATTCTTATGCGTGACAAAAAGAAACAAATCTTAATCCGGACATCCCCAAGGGAGTGTAAATTATACATTTTAATACCTTTCTTAAGGCAACGTTCGATGCTGTCTGTGATAGTCATTCTTCTCTCTGAGATGAATTCATACAGGATCCGTGTAGCCATTGCAGTCTTAAGCCCATCCAAAGCTCCTTGTCTCGTCTTGGCACTAAGGAGACAAACATTTTATTAGTATAGCTAATGTGTTCAAAGCTTAAGAAAATATTTTTTAGCTGCCATTCGTATGGCAAAATATTGCTTTATTTTCCGTTACTAGGAAGATCCTAGTTTTATGACAGACATTTAAAAAGCTGACGTGTTACAACCAATGCGCTATCAGATAACATGTTGAAATGTGAGCTCAGGAAGAACTTTAACCTCTTATCCACAGTGCTGTCTATGAACCCCTTCAGCTTGTACTGAAAATCCTCCTGGGCTGTGTCCTCACTGGTCTCGCCACCTATAAATCAATTCAAGACTTGTCGAATTCTCTCACAAGCACGCGTGCACTTATGAGCTCATGAAACCAATAAGAAACAAACTTACCTTCATCTGCTACACTGGTGGTATCACTGAAGCTGCTGCAATGACTGAGGGTCTCAATGGAGGCATCCTCGTCACTAAAAGGCTGCACAGCGCCATGCTGGCCCCCTAAAAACAAGTGCAGGAAATGGCTTCAACAAAATGTTACAACAGCTCAACAAAACCGTACAAATCCATTATGTAACCCAGGCAGACTCCATACAGGTATTGCAGCAAATATCCCAGTTATCTAATCAGCTTGGGTCCTTTCACAACGCTTAACCTACAGGTGTCATAGGAAAATGTTTTCAGGGTCAACTGACTTTTCAACGCCTGTGCAAACAATGTTCAGGTTGGACTGACGGGTCACCAGAAGGGCCAGTGTTCTTCCTTTAATTACATAAAATGCAGTAGTACTTCTCAAATGAAAAGGATGTCTATTGTTGTCGTGATGCATGCTCAATAATCCAGGTAGAATAAATTAACAGGTCATCTGGACAGATTCTTCTTTGTTGAAAGGTTTTGTCTTTTAATGTTTCAACAAAGAAGAATCCGTCCAGATGACCTGACTTAACCTTGTTAGAAGTCTCTTGTTTTTTTTTTTGTTTGTTTTTTTAGCAAAACACCTTATGAAGTACTTGAATAAAATGTTCAATCACTGGATGTCCTTTTAGCTTTTAGATTAAACCCAATTCAAGATATTCAAGATGGCAGCCACAGCAATTTGAACTTAGGACACACAAAAATGGCTACAACTTGTTATTATTTTTGAAGATAATCTACAGGTGGTGGCCAAACTGAAGGGAAACCAGACCAGATTAGACCAGACGCAACAGGCTTCTCTGCCACCATGACCTAAATTTACCTCTTTGGAAGACATGTTTGTTAGCAGCTGTCTCAGCTAAACGTGCTTACTTTAAGTCCTGACCACAACATTGTAGAGAGTAACGGGCTTAAAATGTTCATATGTTATCCACCAAGCAGCTGTTTAATCTGTGTTTACAGTAATGTGCGTTAACGTGGGCTTTCCCCCCTCAACAGCTGATTTCAGAGAACCGGGCGGCGCCTCGCCACCATGACTATCCCGGCATATCATGGAGTACAAGATGTCCTCTTTTAGTGAGTTTCCGCACTACCAACAAGTCACCATAACCAATAAAGAAAAACAAATGCCTACGTTATACACTAGCTTAACGTTAGTACATGCTAGTTATGACGAATACTGTAAAACCGTTTTATTGGGGTTGTACCAAACACTCCTACCTCACAATGCACACCCAATCTTGTTTATACCTTCAAGAAACACAAGCACGCTTCTGTAGTAGCACTAATTATTAGTAGAAATGTACCAGGTTTTAAACAAAATGTTTGTTTTTAAATAATGTTGATCTATCAACGGAATGAGTACTTTAGCCGGGAGAGGCTAACGTTAGCTTTTCAAGTTAGCGATTACTCTTATGGCCTTTAATATATATAAAACAACTCATAATTAATTAAATATTTGGAAAGTTTAAGCTATGTCGTTACAGAGAGCAGCAATGCTTTGTGAGACGATGGTTCGTTAGGTTGTGTTCACGTAAGCCGGTCTACCACCGTTTGTAGTTCGTTGTGTAAACACGTTGAATTCAACACAATACGATGGCGGGGCTAAAAGAACTACAACTACCGTCACGGAAGCAAGGCCAAAGCGTTGCGGGCGCGCGTGAACTTACCCCTGCTATTCTTCTTCTTGGTCCTTGGCATTTTCGTGCAAATTTAAGCCAAATTTGATCCAAAATCAGCCAATACACGACCAGTTTTTATTGTATTGTCTAGTAAAGTGAAAATGCTCCCGTGGCACAGTAGAAAATAGGAAATCGAAGGCGATCTGAGCGATAGACTGTTGGCCGAGACGATACATTTTCCCCTCATACGCCAGTGCTGCGCAGTCGGAGTGCGTCTCGTGGTATTTATACCGGCAGACATGTCACGAGGAAGTTTCCCGGTATCTCTGACCAATCCCGGAATAGGAAATAGCCTCACGTGACGCACAAGGAAGTCAGCTACTTGCTTTTGTTTTGGTGAAAATAAATGACCATAGTAGCTTCCTATAACCTTAAACAGAAATGAGTGTCACATTTTTGTTAGTCAAATGTAAAAACGTTATTGTTTTAAATATCATAGACATTTCATATACAATTAAATATAAGTTTTAAGCAGAGCCTTCTATTTTATGTTGTTTATGTCAGTAAAAGGCTCTGTACTCTTGTTTTCCTCATAAAGACATATATTCTACAATACAGAGCATTTTTAAATAATATTTTTAACTAAGAAAACATCATTATGAACTTATAGTGCATTACACATTGGAATTACAAGAATATACATTAAAAAATATATCAAAGTATCATGTTTAAGATAGCCCGCCCACCTGTTGCCTGTGTTATGCATCATCTGTTTTATTCCTTAATTTCTAAACCGTGAAGTTATTTTTGTACGTTTAACAGCTGAAGATAAATAATGAGAACATTATATTTTAGGTTAACACAAGTATCATTATTTTTATCCCATTATCCTTCTTCTTTATTAGATTGGAATTTATCTAAAAAATTAAATTACAATTAGGACAGTCTGAATAAAGTTAGTTTTTATTTTACGTCGTTAAGGAATATGTATTATCTTTGAATCAAATGAAACAAAGTAAAACATTACGATTCAATCTTTTCAGACAAATCGTATCTTACTTTGTTTCATTACTTGAAGTACAAGAAATATGAATGTCTTGCTGCTCGAAATCTATTTTGTTGACTTTCTTTCGTGTGCTTCTTTTTAAGACAGAGGAAACTCAGATTTGAAGTATTGTGGTGTAATTCTGTCAAAAATTAAATAAATTAAATCATCTGTGAAGATGCAGTGTGAGAGCTGAAAGACTGCTGAAATTTGTTGAAGAAGTTAAAATTGATCCAACAATTGTCAGTTAGGTCATCTGGACAGTTTCTTTTTTTGTGCTGAAACATTTCACCTTCCATCCAGAAGGCTTCATCAGTCAAGGAAATACAGAGACCTTCTTAGCGCCTTAGCATCTAAAAGTTAATAGTAGCATGATACCTCAAAACAAAATTTAGCACATTTATCTAAAAGCTAACAGTAACAAAATTATAGCTAAAAGGTAAATGCAGCAGTTTTGTTTTTGCTAAAAGTAGCAAAATGTTAGATTAAAACTAAATGTAGCTTAAATTAACTAAAAGCTAAAAGGTGGATGTAAATTAATGTAACAAAAACTATTTGAAATTAGCAAAATGTTAGATAAAAGCTAAATACAGCTAAATGTTAGCCAAAGTTAAATGTAGCTAAATGTTAGCCAAAACTGAAAGTATCAGAAATTCAGATAAAAGCTAAATGCAGCTAAATGTTAGCCAAAGGTAGATAACAAAAAGTTATGTAAAAGCTATATTTAGCAGACTGTTAGCCCAAACGGAAAGTAGCAAAATGCTAGATAAGCTAAATGTTTTAGCAAACTAGCTAGCTAAAAGTAGGTTGCTAACCAAAGCAGAAACTATGTAAAAGTAGCTAAATGTTTAATAAAAGCTAAAAATAGCAGCATGATAGCTAAAAGCAAAAATGAGCAGAACAGCAGCTAATAGCTAAATGTAGCAAAAATTAGTTAAAAGTAGAAAAATGGTAGCTCAAAGTTGGTAAAAGCTAAATGTAGCCTCAAAAGACCAAATTAGAGTAAGGGATCTTAAGTGGATTTTAAACAACATCTTTGAAGGATTAAAACAATCTCAATAGATGTCTGTTTTTAAATAATGTTAAATATTGTGAAACTTGACAGAAACCTAAAGTCACCTCACACTATTCCCAATCGAGATGAACATTTCCATTAAAAAAAAAAAATGGTTTAAATGGTTTAAGTTGTTTTAGTCCAAAAATATCTGGAAGAAACTATAAACAGGAAAATAATAATGTGAACGCTGACTCAGCATTTACACACTAAGCTACCAGTTCCACATAAGTTACATTTTCTGAAACACGGGACAGTGTTTTTGAGTGAATAGCTACGAGTGTTTTTTTTTTTAACGTGCACCGTGCTGTCGGTGTAGACTCCAGCTGCTCCGGTGGATCACTGCACTCCTCCGCAGGAGAGGCTGAATGATGCCCTTGGGCCGAGCATAGCTGCTGCTCTGTTCGCAGCATCAAGTCTGAATAATTGATTAGCCCGTGTGTTAAGTGGGCCCAGCGACAGTTTGTGAAGAGTGTGAAGTCAGATGGGAAACGTTGTGAGTAATTCCTTCAAAGAACTGATTTTAGGCTCAATAGAAAACTTATATCATGAAAAAAACAAACATCTCTTAAGTGCTCAGAGCATGTGGTGGCAGTGAGTCTCAGCTACTACCACACAACATTTTAGCTCATTGTCTGTAAAACTGACTGAGTTGTAGCCATGTTTTTTGTTAATTAGCATCAATCTTGAATCAGGCTGGCTCTAAATTGAATATTTAGATTGAGCTTTACCAGATTGGGACACTAGGGGGCGCCACACTGTTTGGAATTCAAACAGCCTCTTCTCATGGTGTGATGTGCTGAACGAGATGCTCAGAGTTTTTTTGTGTGATGCATAATTTACAGAGCGAGTGCACGCAGCTCACTGCTGAGCTTTAAACGTTTAATGGGCCGGAGCGCACAAAGCAAATATTAAACAAGCAGCCATTTTGAGTCTTGAGGACGGGGAGGGAGCGATAATGTTTTTGCCAGCGTCTCTTTGTTAGTTTGTACTGTTAGCAAAATATCATATGAACCAGTTGAGAGAAATCTTAGAAATGAATCCTTGCATGTGCATCTACAGCTTATTCGCTTTTGGAGTCAATTCAGTTCAAGATGGCCGCCACAGTTAAGCTGCGTTAATGAACCAGAATATGGCTGTAACTCAATTGATGTGATATTTACTGAGCTATAATTTGATGTGGTAGTAACTGAGTATCATTCCCAACACATACTCTGTGCTCGACACATTGTGCACTTTTTTTTTTTTTTACGTAAAAACATTGGCATTACGTATTGGCATCAACAGTCTGTCTGTTAGCAAAATATCTCGTGAACCAGTGGATGTATTCTAATAACACTATAAGGAAATAATGATCAGCTGTACAACTACACCTGATTAACTTTTGGAGCCAACCATGTTCAATATGGCTGCCACAGCTAAGTGGATTATCTAAACAAAAATGGTCAAAACTCAGTCAATATTGCACATATTGAGCTAAAATTTAGTGTGGTTGTAGCCGATCATTGTCTCTAAAGCATATCTGGAGCACAAACTATTGAGGGACATTGTTGCTTAAAACCTTGGCAATAAATGCTTTAGTAAACTGTGCTTGTCTGTTAGCAAAATATCTCATGAACCATCAGATGGATTTCAGTGAAACGCTCAGAAAGTAATAACTGGCTGTGCATCTACAACTGATAAACTTTTGGAGTCAACCCAGTTCAAGATGGTCACCACAGCTAATCAACATTAGCCAACACATAAATGGTGATAACTCACATACTTTTACAGATACTGAATTAAAATTTGGCTTGTTAGTAGCTGAGAGTCATCCCCAACACATACTCTGAGGGTTAATAGATCATGCAAGACATCTTATCAGAGATTTAGAGGTAGGAGGAAGAAATCAGCGGTGTAGGAGTGGAAGGAATAAAAATCAGGGCAGCTCAGCCCAGCCTTACTCAGCATGCAGGGCATGTTGCAGCAGTGGGCACAGACCCCTGACCAGCCTAATGCCACAGGAATACCAATCACTCAGAGAGAAAGCTGACAGGAGAGGACAGAAAATGGCTGAATATTAATTGTGTTTGCAGTGCTTTTGAGCTAAATAATTCATAAATGATGTAGCCCGGAGCCGTGTGCTCAGTTTGATCGGGCAAAGCCTTTTGCGGCGAATGCGGAGTTAAGTTCAAGTTTCTTTATTGTCGTTTGCATCACATGTTGTACATAAGGTGGAACAAAATTGTATACTCAAGATCCCAGTTAAACCCAAAAAAAGCAAAAATCAAAGTATAAAAAGAAACACTGTATAAATATCTAAGATATACACTAAACGATTGCTAAACGGTACGCTAAAAGACCTAAGATATGCGCTAAACACTAATAATGTAACATAATACGGTATATTAAACAGCAGCCCGAACATGAGTCTGTAGTGAGCAGATGAGAAATGAGCTGAACGTTGGTGAAAACCTGATGAAGTAGGGAAATGTAGCTAAAATGTAAAAGTAGTAGAACAGTAGCCAAAAGCTAAAAGTAGCTAAATGATAGCTAAAAGCTAAATGTAGCTAATTTTATCTAAAAGTACCAAAATGTTATATAAAAACTAAATGTAGCATAAATTAACTAAAAATCAAAAGATGGGTGTAAAAAATGTAGCAGAAACTATTTGAAATTAGCAAAATGTTAGATAAAAGCTATATTAAGAAGACTGTTAGCCAAAATGGAAAGTATAAAAATGTTAGATAAAAGCTAAATGTTAGCCACTGTTACAAGTAGCAAAAGTTAGATAAAAGCTATCAGACTGTTAGCCAAAACTGAAAGTAGCAAAATATTAGATAAAAGCTATAATTAGCAGACTGTTAGCTAAAACTGAAAGTAGCAAAATGTTAGATAAAAGCTAAATGTTTTAGTAAACAAGCTAGCTAAAAGTAGGCTGCTAACCATAGCAGAAACTATCCAAAAGTACAAAAATGATTTTAAAAAGCTAAATAGAGAAGAAGAAAAAATAGCGTTCTGCCCAATCAGACACACAATATCATAAGGCGATATACCCTCAACATTTGCGTTGTGAATGACTCTCAGCTATTACCACACCAAATTTTAGTTGAGTCTCTGTCAAGATGACCGAGTTACAACCACCTTTGTGTTTGGTAAGGTTGATTAGCTGTGGTCGCCATT